GATGGTCTCGATCTCCTGACCTCACGATCCGCCCTTCTCGGCCTCCCAAAGTGCTGGGATTACAGGCTTGAGCCACCGCACCCGGCCCCACCTGGGATTTTTACAGGTAGGAGGACCCCCAGGCAGGCAAGGAGTGAAAAGCAGCAAGGTGCAGGGTCCTGAAGACACTAGTTAGGCATCCAGCCTGTCATCCATGTGGCCAAGTGGGAGTGGAGGGGCCTCAGTGGTCCCATGGCTTTGTAAGAAAAAGCCCTAAAACGACTTTTCGAAAAGGGGCCTAAAGCCATGGGGCTGCCCCCTGAAGCAGGAATTAGGATGGAAAGGAGACCAAAGATGGGGCTAGGAAGAAGCTGAAGTCCATCATGTCAACATGGCCACGTGGCAGAGCTACCCACAGAGGAAGCACCAGAGCAAGATCAGAGGCCGATAGGCTAGCAGTCATGAGACAGTGTGCCCCTCCCCTGGGCAGCCTGGGAAGATGGAAGGGGAGAGGCTGAGAGCATGGGGCACACCCTCTGCGCCAAGCCCTGCGGCCTGAAGCCTGGCTGGCCTTGGACAGGGTGGGAGAAGCTTTAAATTAGATGTAAAGATTTAATAAAGGAGTATGGGCTGGGCACGGTGGCTCATGCCTGCAATCCCAGCACTTTGGGAAGCTGAGGCGGGCGCATCATCTGAGGTCAGGAGCTCGAAACAAGCCCGGCCAACATGGTGAAACCCTGTCTCTACTAAAAATACAGAAATTAGCCAGGTGTGGTGGCACACACCTGTAATCTCAGCTACTCAGGAGGCTGAGGCAGGAGAATTGCTTGAATCCGGGAGGCGGAGGTTGCAGTGAGCCAAAAATCACACTACTGCAGCCTGAGTGACAGAGCCAGACTCCAAAAGAATAATAGTAATAATAATCACCGAGTATAACTAGAAAGCCATAGGATCTGCCCAAGAGGTCACTGGGGTAGAAAGAGACTTAACCTGGCAGAATTTAAAAGCAGTGATTTAGGGGGAAGTAAATCAAATTGAGTCTTCTCAGGATTGCATTACCCTCAGATGTGTACCCAAGGGCAGCTGGGGCTGCGTTCTGCAGCATCGTGTGCATTGCATGGAGGCTCAGAGCGGGTAGTGTGGGCAAGTGTTCTCACCGCTCTGAGCCTCAGCTGGGGGGTAACAGTGCCCTCTGGGTCACCAGGGAGGGTGAGATGAGTAAGGCCCAGGTACAGGGACCCCACAAAAGGACAAAGGACTGACAACAACAGGAAAAAGCTTCCTCCCCATCTCAGACCTCCCCTTCTAATTCATTCCCAATTCCCAAACTGTCCCACAGCTTCCTTCCCACCGTCCTCTCCTCCTCCCCCACCCAGCTTCAGCCTCGAGACACCTGCTTCTTCTCAGAGGACTCCTGTCTCATTCAAGTCTCCTGATGCTTCAATATCCATTCCCTTCAGTGCCCCAAATTGTGCCTTAACTGTGCTGTATGTATACTTTGATTCTCTGCAACCTGATTTTGCGCTCCTGGAGAACATGAGGTTGCATTTAGAGGTAGGTATGTATTCCCATTGTTAAAAGGTTTCATGGCCAGGCATGGTGGCTCACGCCTATAATCACAACACTTTGGGAGGCCGAGGCGGGCGGATCACTTGAGGTCAGGAGTTTGAGACCAGCCTGGCCAACCTGGCAAAACTCCATCTCTACTAAAAATATAAAAATTAGCCAGGCGCAGTGGCAGGTGCCTGTAATCCCAGATACTCGGGAGGCTGAGGCAGGAGAATCACTTGAATCCAAGAGGCGGAGGTTGCAGTGAATCCAGATCACAACAAAGCAAGGCTCTCTCTCAAAAAAAATAAAAAGAGGTTTCACATACTGTACATAAACGACAAGCCTCGGCCGGGCGCAGTGGCTCAAGCCTGTAATCCCAGCACTGTGGGAGGCCGAGACGGGCGGATCACGAGGTCAGGAGATCGAGACCATCCTGGCTAACACAGTGAAACCCTGTCTCTACCAAAAAAATACAAAAAATTAGCCGGGCGCAGTGGTGGGCACCTGTAGTCCCAGCTACTCGGGAGGCTGAGGCAGGAGAATGGCGTAAACCCGGGAGGCGGAGCTTGCAGTGAGCTGAGATCTGGCCACTGCACTCCAGCCTGGGCAACAGAGCGAGACTCCGTCTCAAAAAAAAAAAAAAAAAAGACAAGCCTCACACTCAGACAGCACAGATGTGCACTGAATCCCAGCTCCACCATGCACTGACAGTGTGACCTTCAGCAACTCATCTATAACCTCTCAGCCTCAGTTTCCTCCTCTGGAAAATGGGGACAATATCAGTACTTTCTTCAGAGAGTTCTGGTAAAAATAAGTATGACCAATTGCTTAGAAGTGTGCTTTCTTTGCCAGGTGCAGTGGCTCATACCTGTAATCCCGGCATTTTGGGAGTCTGAGGTGGACAGATCATGAGGTCACGAGGTCAAGAGATGGAGACCATCCTGGCCAACACGGTGAAACCCTGTCTCAACTAAAAATACAAAAATTAGCTGGGCATGGTGGTGCACACCTGTAGTCCCAGCTACTTGGGAGGCTGAGGTAGGAGAATCACTTGAACCTAGGAGACAGAGGTTGCAGTGAGCCGAGATCAAAAGTATGCTTTCTTAAACTTACTTCTGAATTATTAGCTGTTAGCCCCTTCTCCAAAATCGCATTTACTTGGTCTGAAATGGAGGCCCAAGCAATAGTCATTCTTAAAGCCCCCCACTTTAGGTAATTCCAATGGTTTGTGTAAGAGAAAGAGGGGGTGAGGGGGAGAGGAGGAGATGGGAGGCAGAGCTGGGTTGGCGACAAAACGCCGACCACTTTATAACTCCCCAGAAGTATCACAGTTTTGTCAGTAAGCCAGAAATAGCTTTGTTCTGCCAGGCTCTGAAATGCCAGCACTCAGAGACGGAGATGTGCCACCTTCTCCAGCCAGCCACCCTGTGCCCTCAGGGGAAATGCTCTTTGCTGTGGTGCCCGCAGACCTGGGAGATACAAAGAAGACAGGGCCGTGACTTTGGGCCCCCGGGCCGGAGTGGCTCTGTCTGCCTGGTCACTTTTTCCCTTGCTCAGCATTTACTCACCAACCAGCAGACAGTGCAGAAAATGTGCAGCCTGGCCCCTAATCCGGCTCTAAGTTCAGAATTTGCATGTGATTACCAGAGGGCTGTGGCAGTTCCCTGCATTTTCCTCTTCCCCCACTGCCCCCCAAAAGGGGACAAATATAAAGAGCTCAATGTGCAATACCACCATTGCCACAGCTCTTGAGGTAACATCACCTCACCTGTCTTTTGCATCTTGCTGGAACCACCCCATTTCAATTACAAAGCCCAAGTGTCTGTGCAATGCGGCTGACTGCCTGAACTGGTTTGCTGGTTTAAAGGTAGTACTTGGACAGACAATACACATTACTCTCCGACTGGAAAATATGCTGATACGCTGGACTTATAAGAAGTCTCTCAGCGTAGACCCATTTCTAAAAGATTATAATATCTACTAAATATCACATACGCTATTTTTTAACCAAAAGTATTTCTTTGAAATTTTCAGTCAATGGCTTCCAGGGTACCAGAGCAATCCTTTTCCTACCTGTTTTTTGTTTTTGTTTTTGTTTTTGTTTTTGAGACAGGGTCTGGCTCTGTCACCCAGGCTGGAGTGCAGTGGTTCAGTCTCCGCTCACTGCAACCTCCGCCTCCCGGGCTCGGCCTCCCACCTCAGCCTCCTGAGTAGCTGGAACTACAGGCAGGCACTACCACACCCAGCTAATTTTCGTACATTTTGTAGAGAGGAAGTTTCGCCATGTTGCCCAGGCTGGTCTTAAACTCAGGGGCACAAGCGATCCTCCTGCCTCCGCCTCCACAATGCTGGGATTACAGGCGTGAGCCACCGCATATGGCCTCTTTTTAAAAATAAGTGACTTTTTCTCAAAAAAGAAAAAAAAAGACACTTAAAAGGAATGAGATGCCCGCTTGCACAGGGTCTCTGCCCATCCGACAGTTCTTAAATTACCCTCGCCAGGTGACACCGTGGGCGCCTTCCCCTTCGGCAGAGTCCTAGTGAAACTGGACACCTTAGTACTTGGAAAACTAATGGGAATCAGAAATGATGATGCCCATGATGACTGCGCACCGCGTTATTAAACCTTTGTGCAATGCTTTACAAAGTATTTGCAAAGTGCTCAACAATTACTGCACTCTCAATTAAGTCAATCATCACCAGTAAAGCAGCAGCCACGTTAATTCACGTACTCTCCGATGCGCTTATTGAATAATAAGCCCCATAAAATGATTTTTGTGTGGCTGTAAAAGATCCCCAGTCAACTTTTATGGCCTTTTCTTGGGGCCTCTCAGATGAGCTCAGACAGCAAGTCTGATGAGCGGCAGCAGCTCGGAAGCTGGGTGTTACCCCAGCCTGCCGTTTAGCAATCTGGCGGAATGAGTTAGTAAGCCGCAGTTCAGTAGAGCTCCTAAGCCGGAGGTTCAAAACATCTCATCAAAACCAGCACGGTCCCACCCTGCCAGCGCTCAAAACAGCAGTGTCGGGCCCAAATCTGGAAGCTAACGTGCCGAGGACCTTTCCAGGACGGTAGTTAGGTGCCTTGGGAGGGAGGGCAAATTCTAGAGTTCAGGCCTCCCTGGGGGGCACACCTTCCACCCGTACTAACTGGCGTGCGAAGGCGCTGCTGCTTAGCGCTTTGCACGGAGAAGCGCCCCGAACCCACCAAACGATGCGGAGCCAGGGGCAGCGAGTGACCGGCGGCCCCCAGCCCTCCCCTTCCTTCTCCTCGCCCCTTTTGGGAATGGCAGGGAGTTTCCTATGAGAAATGCCGGCAAGCAGGACAGGGTTCGCACTACCCCAGAGCCGGCGCCTTCTCCCTACATTCTCAGCCCTAGGGCCGGACCCGCCCCCGCGGCTGCCATCGCCCCTGCCTCCGGCGCCCCGCGGGGACCACTCCGCCAGGTGAGCGGAGCCTCTCTGAGACTCACCTGCGTGAAGTACAAGTTCATCAGCGTGAGGGTGAAGAACTGCAGGCACACGGGGAAGCAGTAGAGCAGCCAGAAGACGAAGGGGCTGAGCGAATTGGCCGCCACGAAGTCTTTGAAGTAGAAGGAGAAGAGGACGGTCCGCAGGGAGGCCCAGAAGAGGCAGAGGAAGAGGAAGACGCTCTGGTAGCTGAGCCGCTTGTGACGGTAGCGCAGCACCAGCCAGAGTTGCACGTAGATGAACACGAAGAGCAGCGCGTAGAACACGGTGTAGACCACTGTGAGGCCGAGCTTCACGTAGGGGGGCACGGCCGGGGTCAGCGTGGGCGGCAGCGAGTCGTTGCGGGCCGGGTCCCACGGCGGGGTCTCCATCGGGCCGGGGGCGCTGCCGCGCGGCCGGGGGCGCTCCGGCCTCATCGGGGCTCGGGGCCGCCGCCGCCGCCGCCCCCGCGGGGGTCTCCGCGCATCGCGCTCCGCCTGCAGCCCCGAGACTGGAGGAAAGAAAACAAGCCGCACTTCCTCCCCCGGCACCACATGATTCACTGGGGCGGCCTTTGTCTGCGATTGGCAGCGCCGCGCCCGCCGCCCCCGCGCGCCGACCGGCCCCGCGCGCCCCCGCCCCGGCCCGCGCGCCCCGGCCCGCCCTCTCCCGGGCACCGCGCGCCTTAGCCCCGCGAACCTCGGCCCGCCCTATCCTCGCCACTGCGCGCTCCTGCAGTGCGCGCCCCCAGAGCCGCGCGCCTCCTCCCGGCCCTTTCCCCATGCCGGGGGCCGCGCGCTCCCACACTGCGCGCCCCCAGAGCCGCGCGCCTCCTCCCCGCCTCCGGCCCCCTCCCCGTCCCAGGGGCCGCGCGCTCCCGCACTGCGCGTCCCCAGAACCGCGCGCCTCTTCCCCGGCCCCGGCCCCCTCCCCGTCCCAGGGGCCGCGCGCTCCCACACTGCGCGCCCCCAGAGCCGCGCGCCTCTTCCCCGGCCCCGGCACCGCCCCGCGCGCCCCCAAAACTTCCCAGCCGCGCCCCGCGCGCCCCCAAAACTTCCCAGGCACGCCCCGCGCCTCGGGGGATCTCGCTCCTGGCCTCACGCATTCTGCTGCTGATTGCTTGTTTTGCAGAAGTTAATTCCTTTATTTAAAACCAAAAAATTTTTTTAAAAAAAACTTTACAAGTCCTTTCCGTCCCCCTCTTTAAAAATAAAACTTTACGACTCTGTGGCTATGAACTGGCCGGCGTCTGGAATGATGTTTATTTCTAAATGCAGAAATGCCAAAGACAGGGTTTGTGTTTTTGAGGTCAAATTTGTATACTCAGAGTAAGGAAACAGACGGTGCCTGCGGCTGCTGCCTCCTCTCGGATGCAAGCTGGGCTGTTTTCTCCCGGAGAGCCTCACGCGCTCCCAGTGCCTCACCTCCCAGCGACGCAGCTGGTGCCGGGAGGCGCGCGGGCCGCGGGGCAGTGGATGGAGCCCACTGGGCTTCAGAGAGAAGTGGGGCAGCTGACGGCACACAGCCTCCCTTGTCCGATCCAACCCATTCCGAAGGAGGGTCTGTCCCCGCCGCCCGAGAGCCCTTCTCTTTTGCTTTTGCTGAACAGCTCGCTCCTCGAGGGTGTACATGGACTTAGTTTTGCCCCGGGGCACCACGCCACCCTTGTCTTGGGAGAGCTGGGGAGTGCTCTGGGAAAAGAGGGAAAGCCGGGCTGCCCTCTGGAAACATTGCTGGGCAAGCGCTTCTGGTAAACAGAAGAAAGAAACCCGGATTTCCAAGGCTCCAGTAGTTGTGATTTCTTTTCTTACTCCACTTCGTGCCTAATTGTGTGTTCTTTTTCCAAAAGAGGGCCTGGCATTTTCAGAATCCACCCTGGCTTTTGCTCAGAATTGCTTAGTGGCTACAGCGCACCCAGCGTATTCCAGGTGGTTCATTGGGGCCAAGTGTGCCTTTGGCGTGGAGCTCCTTTTCTAGTTTTTCTATCTTTTCCCTCTCCCTATCGCGATTTCAAGAGGAAATATGGAATTGGTCTCCACGCCTCTGGCCTCGTTCCTCTCAATCCCCGTTCTGAACACCGCAAGTGGAATGATGGAATGATCGTTCTAAAGAACACCTGGCCACTTTACTCCCGGGCTTAAATGCCCTTCCCTTGCTGCTCAGAGTTCTGGGGATAGAGTCTAAACTCCTACCCTAGCTTACCTCCCTGCCTTATCTCTTCCAAGGTGTTAAGCAGTGTTAACACCTCCTGACTCCCCTAGACTAAGAAAACTCTACCCTTTCTTCTAACAGCTGGTCCTTCCTGTCTATCCGTGAGGGTGTTACTTCCTGCAGAGAGCCTTTCCAGAACTCTCCACCCACCATACTCTCAGGATTAGGCTAGGGTTTCACCTGTGTGCTTCCCCAATCTCCTTGCCTAATTGTTAGTCCCCCGCTCCCACCCAACACATTTATGTGTCCTTATGATAGAAACTGTGTCTTGTTTACCAGTATCTCCCCTGGCACATTGGAAAAACATCCGCATACATTTTATTACACTGTTTTATTATACCGAAGAAATATTGTTTGTCAACAGAGGTCCAAACTCTGATATTTCTCCCTCCAGTGTGCATGGATTCTACCTCATGATCCAAGAGGGCTACTGGCTCTCCAGACATGGAGTCCACATCCCAGGCCAGCGTTAGGAGGAACACGGGAGACTAAAGAGCCCTTGTTTCTCCTGTTTCTGGAGCCTTCCCAGAAAGACCACACAATGCATCCACTTTTAGCTCATTGGTAGGACTTAATTACTCTAGTAAGCTGGCTACAAGAGATTGGGAAATGTAGTTTTAGTCTCCACGGCATTGTACACAGCTGAAAGTCATGGTTCTGTAATTATGGATGAAAGGGTGAATGGATTTAGGAAAAACTAGCCATCTTTATCATGCCTTCAAAGCAGACAAAAAGAACGCCAGATGGCTACAACGGTTCCCCTTTTTGACTACCTAGTATCAAATGTGTTTCTTATCATCTTTACAATTCTGAAAATAAGGATGATATACAATAAAGATGCTCCCACTTTATATCCCTTGTACAACTGGAAAACATTCCAAGCCAGGTGCTCACGCCTGTAATCCCAGCACTTTGGGAGGCCAAGGCAAGTGGATCACCTGAAGTCAAGAGTTCGAGACCAGCCCGGCCAACCAGGTGAAACCCTGTTCCTACTAAAAATACAAAAATTAGGGCCGGGCGCGGTGGCTCAAGTCTGTAATCCCAGCACTTTGGGAGGCCGAGACGGGCGGATCACGAGGTCAGGAGATCAAGACCATCCTGGCTAACCCGGTGAAACCCCGTCTCTACTAAAAAATACAAAAAACTAGCCGGGCGAGGTGGCGGGCGCCTGTAATCCCAGCTACTCGGGAGGCTGAGGCAGGAGAATGGCGTAAACCCGGGAGGCGGAGCTTGCAGTGAGCTGAGATCCGGCCACTGCATTCCAGCCTGGGCGACAGAGCGAGACTCCGTCTCAAAAAAAAAAAAAAACTACAAAAATTAGCCAGGTGTGGTGGCACATGCCTGTAATCCCAGCTACTCAGGAGGCTGAGGCACGAGAATCACTTGAACCCGGAAGGTGGAGGTTGCAGGGAACTGAGATTGCACCACTGCACTCCAGCATGGATCAAAAGGCCACGGAGTGAGACTCCATCTCAAAAAAAGAAGAAGGAAAGAAAGAAAAAGAAAAGAAAGAAAGAAAGAAAGAAAGAAAGAAAGAAAGAAAGAGAGAGAGAGAGAGAAAGAGGGAAGGAAGGGAGGGAGGAAGGGAGGGAGGGAGGGAAGGAAACAGAAAAACACATTCCCTCTTTCCCTGCAAAAGGATCATCATTTTCCGTGTCCAGCTCCAAGCCCAGGAACTCTGGGTGACAGCCATTCCTCTAATTCTATCACTATCTCCTCTCGACATTCTGTATCTTACGGACTAAATTATTAAGTTATCCATCACTAGTTTGTCCTATATAAAAGTGTAGAGGAAAAAAATGTAAAGGAAAGGAGAATTCATTATTAGGTTGGCACCAAAGTAATTGTGGCTTTTTGCCATTCAAAGTAATAACAAAAACCACAATTACTTTTGCATCAGTTTATGAAATACATATATATGATACAGCAAGAAAAAAATATAAGTTAGAGTTCTTGTTTTTCTGACTGGTCCTAAAGCTGTAATTGGTATTTATGACTGCTCTCCTTAACGGACATTACAAATCTCCCCTTCCCTTCATCAGGAATCTCAGCTAGTCAGGGGTAGCCCTGATTTCTGAGGAATCTAATCTTGTTAATGTTAGCCACTGGACATGCCAGTAGCAAGAGGCACTACCATGACTGAATTCTGTCTATTCACCTTTTTATGCTCATCATGTAACAGCAACTCTGCTTCCCCTTAATAGTTACTATCATCACAGCCAACACCATCATACTATTTTTTGCAACACATCCACTAGCATGAGGAGTCTGAAGTAGCCAGGGTCTCAACTTTTATTTCAATTAAACCACACTTGAATCTCCCGGGGTAGAAGAGTTCCTCCTTGGTTACTAAGACCTTCAAGCTAGCCGAGCGTAGAGGCGAAGGTACAGGAAACACAAAAATTTGCAAGTAAGTCATTGCGTGTTAGCGAAAGGCACCATTCTCTTGGTTCCTGTAGCCATGTATCCTGACTGCCAGGACAAATAGCACTATATGTCAGCTTTGGGTTCCGAAGAAATTCTATGTATTATAGGATACCAATACTACCTTTCTGTGCGCTGTTGTCCTGCAGGCACAATAACTAAGTCTACAGTCGGTTATTCCACCACTGGATAAGGCCAGCTGCTACTTGAGGGACAGAAATTAGCCCACCAATTTCTTCTTTTAGTATAAAGTGAGGTCCTTGTTCAGAGCAATATTGTATAGGATACCATGATGATGAGCGATGCATTCAGAAAGTCCCGAGACAATAATGCAGGCCCAGGGGGCAAAGAAAGTCAGTCCAAGTTCAGAAGCATTGTCTATTACATCGAGCACAAATTGCTGATGTCCTACGTGATTAAAGGTCTATGTAATCTGCTTTCAGGTGGCTGTCTAGGACTTCTCCTGAGTTTCGTACCTCTTGGAAGATTCGGAGTTGGCTGGCGATGCTCATGAAAAGCCAAGTCAGCCTTGGTGGGGAAGTCCAGATTGTTACAAAATGGATCAATCAGTCCCTGCCTGCATGGTCACTGTGTCCATTAGCCCATTGAATAAGCAGTGGGCTAACTGGGGACAGAAGACGTCTTCCATACCCAGGACAGGTCAACGTGTCCACCTGAATGCTGAGAGTCTCCAGTAGAGCTGGGTGTTTTGGGGAACCAGATTTGGTGGCTTGATGGATCAAAATAACATGCTGCTTGAGATGGGCGACTCAGACTGCATGGTAATCTGACTTCTTGATAAGACATTCAGTCTCTTCCACAGCCCAGGAGCAAGCCAACTCTTTTTCTCAAAAGAAAAATAGTTATTTGACGAATAAGGCATGTATGTGTTCCAAAACCCTTATAATTGACACTGTGATTCTCCTAACAGGGCTTGTCGCAGGTAACGTACACCTCTCCAATCTGCCATTGATATTTTAAGCACCGTTAGATCCCCTGAGTCATGGATGACAAAACAGATGGCATTGCAGCCTGAACCAAATGGAGCCTCTCGTCTGCCCTGGGCCCCTTCTCAAAATTAGCTCCCTTTTGAGACACCCCATAAGTGGGTCAGGGAAGCACACTAATGTGACAAATGTTACTTCCGTAAATAGGACCTCAAAGCATTATGCTTCTGTTTCCTATTTCCGGTGTAAGGTGTAATATCTCAGCCTTCATTTTGGAGGAGCTATCTCAGCCTAGACTCCCTGAAATGCTTCCGTGAGGTCACAGGCCCCTGTAGACTCATGAAATTTACATGTCTCTTACATGCCTAGAATAACTGCCATCCCTGCCTTGTAGGTCTTTATAGCATGATGTCATTAATGTAGTATCACTGTGATGTCCCGAAGAACATTAAAATGATTAAGATTTCTGAAGACCAAATTGTGGCGTGGACCAGAGTTGACCTAACCCTGAAGGAGATGGGAAAGCATCCTTTCTAGATGAGACAAAGTGGCTTTTGGAGTTCTTCACTTATTGGGAATGAGAAAAAAAACATGTTCCTCCAGGGGCTGTGTGGGCTTGCTGTAATGAAGTCACCACCATATGAAGCTTATGATTACCTGTTTTATTTTCCAAGACCCCTCCATCTGTGTACCAACTGAGCAGTTAGATGAAAAAGTGATGGGAATTTACCACTTCTTTTTTTTTTTTTTGAGATGGAGTCTCACTCTGTTGCCCACGCTAGAGTGCAATGGTATGATCTCGGCTCACTGCAACCCCTGCCTTCTGGGTTCAAGCAATTCTCCTACCTCAGCCTCCTGAGTAGCTGGAATTACAGGTGCCTACTACCACGCCTGGCTAATTTTTTTGTATTTTTAGTAGAAATGGGGTTTCACCATGTTGGCCAGGCTGGTCTTGAACTCCTGACCTCAGGTGATCCACCTGCCTCAGCCTCCCAAAGTGCTGGGATTACAGGCATGAGCCACTGCGCCTGGCCATTTTTTTTTTTTTTAAAGATGGAGTCTTGCTCTGTCGCCCAGGCTGGAGTGCAGTGGCATGATCTCAGCTCACTGCAACTTTCACCTCCCAGGTTCAAGCAATTCTCCTGCCTCAGCCTCCCAAGTAGCCGGGATTAGGAATTTAGTGCTTCTTTGGCATCCAAGTTTGGGTCTGAGAATTGGATGTGGGTACAACACTCTCTGTCGGGATGGTGTAAATCAGATCTAGGGAGTTTTTATTTTGTTTTTGTCAACTATATTAAGCAGGCCCATAGAGGACCGCCCATCTCTTTTGTCCTAAAAGCTTATATCCAATTAGTTTCTGCCAAAGATCTTTGATGTGCAGGCAATTCTGACTGTCAGACTGGCCATTCTCAGACTGGTCATGATCATCATGCCTTCTATTGGGATAACCTCTCCCTTAGTGGTGGTTGTGCTGCCATTGACCTCTGGCACCCGGGATCCTGGCAAACATGAGGGAGTCCACTCCTCTTCAGCAGCTCTCAATAGCATCCCTGATGTACAGAGTATAGCCATGACAGTATTTTTGAGATATACTTTTCTCACCAGGGTCTCTCTCAGTGCCTTGACAAAGGGAATGTCTTCTGGTCCCTCTCCAGGGACCAGTTAGGGGATTGGTGAGTGAGATTTGCACAATAAATCCACAGCAACAGTCCTATTTCCTTGGATTCCTGCTTCTACATTATGCTGGATAATTTCAGGCCTCTCGGCTTCTCTTGAATGATG